AGTAATAAACTCCAGTTTTTTAATTTGAGCCCAACACATCTACCCACACAGACACACAAGAGAAGTCCAAGGGATGTTTGAAAAGCATTAACCCACTTTACCTAGGAAAATGCCAATTTGCATAGATGATTACTATATATACAAATAAGAAAATGTAATTTAAGGCCCTTAAGGTAGACATCACACATATGAGCCTTCCATTAAATTCCACAGGAGGTTGTTGCTGAGGTCTTTATCCTGGCTAAGTCCTGATCCTGGCTAATTAGCCAATTAGTTGTCTAATTTTGGCCCAAATTTAATGCCACATGAAGGGGAGAGATCTTTTATTTAAAAAATCCTGATCTGGCAAACAGTTTTACATACATGCATCATCTGTAGAATCAGAAATGCCCCAAGGTTCCATAATTAAAATATGGAAAAAAAACCCCAAACAACCATATTCTCAATCTGAATGGACTCTGCTAATGGATGTTCTATCATTCCTCTGGATGTATCAACTTAAATACATTTGTGCTTAATGCAAAATATTTAAAATTAAGAAATGACTGTGCATATTACTAACTGCTCAATTATAAATCCTTTAACAAAAAAAATTTAGCTCATTTCTCAAAGGCAAATATGGATAAAGTAACTGTTAGCTTCAATGGAATTTCAATGTAAAAAAATGTAATTTTACAGGGGATTTGGATTATTTAGACTGATAATAGTATTTTGAAAAAGAGAGAATGTAGAATGCCACAACCACTTTAGAAAAATACAACACTGGCAGTTTACATCTGTATAGATTATATCTGTATAATCTGGAAAAAATCTGTGGATATGCCCAGTAACAGAAGATTCTTATTTCATTCCCTTTTTTCAGCCTAACATCTACACTACTCTCTGATTTACTATCAGTTCAGTAAAGTATCTGTTCTCAGTCAGTATGCATTAATTTTCTTGACAATAAACTTGTAAAAAACTCTGACACCTCAAACTAATATTCAGTCAGAAGATCCATGAACATAGGGCAGTTTCACATATTAAATTTGAACTCATAGGACAGAAAAGTTAAATATTTTATAATAGTAAGGCAAGCAAATAAATTCCACACTTGCCATGGAAACACTGACTAAGAGCAGCACTTGATCACACTCTAGTCAAGTTATCCTTTAGACCTTAATTCTGCAGTGAAACTCCCTCAGCATGGCACCCCAGTCATACCTCCTTAAGTATTTCTGGATTACTTCTTTGGCACTGAACTTCTATCTTTCTCCTGGGTTATAAATCAGGAAGTAGAGTGTTTTCACACCATAAGCAGCAGGACATAGAATGTTTTAGCTACATCCAAGTATAATTATGGGCAGGATACTGTCCATACACTACTCTAGTAGAAATCTTTCACAGAAAATCACTAAATCTTGAAATTAGCAGTAGCTTCCCCAGACCACTACATCAACTGCAGCTGCAGACAGAGAGCAGGGAGCTTGGCAGGCTGAGGCACCTGATCCCACAAGATGCTCTGTGTGAGACAGCATTGCCTCAACTCCAGCAAACACGGCTGGAATTACAGACGTTCAATACATCGCATAAGCAGCTCTATAAACTCTGGCAGTTTTGCACATTACTTACCTGAATATGAAAGACACTTGAAATGAGGCAAGAGAACCAAGAATGTGCACATTCTAGCACAGATCAAGGGCCACTTCTTGTCACACCCCAAAAGGCAGTCTTGTTGCCCCCTGCTTTTAACCTGAAATCCATTATATGGATCAATAGCATATGCCATAAAAAGCATGCTATGAGGGTTTTGGTTTAGTTTTGTTTTTGGTTTTTTTTTTTTTTTTTTTTTTTACTTTTTTA